AAATGCTAAAGGTAGTCCTTTTGGTTGAAATGAGAGGATGATAGACAGTAATTCTAAGTCATATGAAGGTATAAAGATTTCTAGCAAAGAAAAATATAACACTCAGTATTATTATAATTTTGGTTTGTAACTTTTATTTTCTACATCACTTAAAATTCAAACTCATTAAAGTAATTTTAAATCTATGTTAATGGAAAGTTAGCATCATGGCAGTATAAAATGTCCATCCTATTGTCCCCTTTTTTAAAACAACTAATTAGACATTCATCCATAAACAAAAGTGCCTCTGTGGGAGTTGTTGCCCCCAGCACCAAACATCAAGGCACCTGGGAGGAGTCTCCCCTACCTGTGCATCCAGTAATAGGTACACAGACCAAGGCATGGACTGTGAAAACAGCAGGAGTAGGCAAAAGTGCCCCAACCCTTCTTCGCCATGGTTGTAAAAAATATGGAAACTGCTGATTTGGACAGACACCCACAGACAAGAGAGACTTTGTAGCAATCCACTCTCACCGAGGTGAGATTCCAGCATGCTGTTGGTGCAGCATTACCCTGATACCAAAACTAGATAAGAATACTACAAGAAAACAAAACTATAGACTAATGTCCCTGATAAACATACATGCAAAAATTCTCAACAAAATATTAGCAAACCAAGTTGAACAAAACATTAAAAGAAATAACACCATGACCAAGTGGGATTTGTCCTTGGGTTTCAAAGATGGTTAAACATATGCAAATCAACAAACGTGATACACCACATTAATAGAATGAAAGATAAAAATCATTTAATCATCTCAATAGATGCAGAAAAAGCATTTGACAAAATACATCCTTTCATGATAAAAACCCTCAACAAATTGGGTATAGAAGGAACATACTTCAACATGATAAAGGCCATATATGACCAACCCACAGCTAACACCATATTCAATAGCAAAGGTTGAAAGCTTTTCCTCTAAGATCAGGAATATGACAAAGGTGCCCACTATTACCACTCTTATTCAACATAGTACTGGAAGTCTTAGCTAGAGCAAGCAGGCAAGATAAAGAAATAAAAGGCATTCAGATTGCAAAAGGAGGAATTAAAATTGTCCTTATTTGCTGATGATGTGATCTTATCTATAGAAAATCCTAAACACTCAACCAAAAAACTGTTGGAACTAATGAATGAATTCAGTAAATTTACAGGATATAAAATCAACATAAAAGAATAAGTTATGCTTCTATACACTAACAATAAACATTTGAAAATGAAATAAAGAAAACTATCCTATTCAAAATAGCATCAAAAACAATAAAATACTTAGAAATAAATTTAACCAAGTGAAGAAGAAATAAAACTACTGTCAAAACTATAAGACCTTGATGAAAAATTTAAGAAGACAAACAAATGGAAAGACATCTCATGTTTGTGGATCTGAAGAATTAATATTGTTAAAATGTCCATACTACCCAACGCCATCCATAGATTCAATGCAATCGCTATCAAAATTCCAATGTCATTTTTCATAGATATAGAAAAAAATCCTAAAATTTGTATCAAACCACAAAACACCCCAACTATCCAAAGCAATCCTAAGAAAGAAGAACAAAGCTGGAGGCATTATGCTTCCTGATTTCAAACTATAGTGATTAAAATAGTGTGATACTGGCATAAAAACAGATGTATAGACCAATAGAACATAATTGAGAGGCCAGAAATAAACTCCAGCATATATGGTCAACTAACAGTTGACAAGGGAGCCAAGAAGACTCAGTGGGGCAAAGAACAGTCTCTTCAACAAATGGGGTTGGAGAAACCAGATAACAACACATAGAAAAATAAAGTTGGACCCCTATGTTACAACAATTACAAAAATTAACTTGAAATAGATTAAACACTTAACATAAGACCTGATATCCTAAAACTCCTAGAAGAAAACATAGGGAAGAAGTTCCTTGACATTGGTCTTGGCAATGATTTTTTTGGATATGACACCAAAAGCACAAGTAACAAAAGCAAAAATCAAAAAGTAGGACTGCATCAAACTAAAAGCTTCTGCACAGCAAAAGAAATAATCAACAAAATGAAAAGTTAACCTAGGGAGTTGGAGAAAATATTTTCAAACTATATATTGGATAAGGGGTTAACATCCAAAATATATAAAGAACTCATACAACTCTAACAAAAAGTAAAAACAATCTGAAAAAATGGGGCAGAGGAACTAAATAGACATTTTTCCAAAAAGACATTTAAAGGCTAACAGGTACATGGAAAGATGCTTGACAACACTAGTCATCAGGGAAAAGCAAATCAAAACCACAATGAGATATCACCTCATACTCATCAGATTAGCTATTATTAAAAAGACAAGAAATGAGTGTTGGAGAGGATGTGGAGAAAAGAGAAGCCTCGTGCACTGCTAGTGGGAATGTAAAGTGGTACAGCCGCTACAGAAAACAGTATGGAGAGGCCTAAAAAAATTAAAAATAGAACCATTATATGATCCAGCTATTTTACTTCTGGGTATTTATCCAAAAACTCAAAAACACTAATTTGAAAATATATATGCACTACTATGTTCATTGCAGCATTATTCACAATAGCCAAGACTTGGAAACATCCTAAGTGCCATCAACAGATGAATGGATAAAGAAGATACTGTTCCGCCATAAAAAAGATGAAATCTTGCCATTTGTGACAACATGGATGGACCTTGAGGGCATTATGCTAAATGAAATAAGTCAGATGGAGAAAGATAAATACCATACAATTTCACTTATATGTAGATGATAAACAAATAAACATAGATACAGAGAACAGAATGGTGGTTACCAGAGGGGTAGGAGGTTGGGGGGAGGGCAAAAGAGGTAAAGGGGTACACGTGTATGGTGACTGCTGGCAACCAAACTTTTTGTGGTGAACACCATGTAGTCTATACAGAGTCAAAATATAATGATGTCTACCTGAAATTTATGTTATAAACCAATTTACCTCAATAAAATATATATGTGAAATTAATAAAAATTAAATTTAATTTAATAAAAAATTAAATAAATTAAAGTGAAAATTGGGTGAAAAAAAAAAGAACCAAGATAAATCAAACAGAGAATGGAGACGAGAGAAAATCAAGGAAACCAAAAGTGAAGTGAATACACTGGGGCCCCGCCCCTAAGATGTCACCCTGCCCTACCCTCTATCCGGTGTGCCTGTGAGGTTGACCCAGTGGGGTACAGGGGATAGCACAGTGGGGACAGCTTCACTTCTCACCAATAGGTAGTCCCAGCTCTAAAGGGCCTGAAGAAGAGTGGATAAGGGGCTTTACCTCTTCAGCAGACATAGCCTGAGCCTGGGCTATTTCTGCTTTTATGTTCGCCATTCCTTGAGAAGAGGAAAAGCCATGCCCCCTTGGATTTACTCTGCATGTTTCCCTATGATTTCATTACCTTCATGTATGGAGGATTTGTGTGGGACTACACTATGGGGTTGCCGTCCTACAGACCGGGTGTAGGCAGACGACATCAGGCGATCAGATGGAAGGTGGCAGGAGACAATGATAGGGACAGGAGCCCTTTCCGTCATACTTGTTCCCTTCATTTCGGTGAAGCCACTGAGCGCGACTATACCTGTGCGCTCCCTCTCTTCCCCAAAAGGGGGCCCACATCTTGTGGATTCTACGTTTGCGCATGCGGTTCCGCCGAGTACCCCCACAAAAAGGAGTCCAGGCTCTAGGTTGGCAGTGTTTCCGCATGGTCCCGAAGACCCGTCCTTACAGAGGTGTCCAGGCCTTGTGCCGGCGCTGTTTGCGCATGCGCCTTCCGCCCCGTCCACAGGCGCGCCCACGCCTTGTGCATGTGGTGTCTGCGCATGCGCTGTCCCCCGCCTGGGTCTCACGAGAGTGACTGCCCACGCGCCCCTCGGACGGTCGGCCTTCGGTGGGTTCTCTGTGCTTGCGGAAGGGCGGTGTCCCTTCCTGCCAGGTGGCTGCGAGGATGAAGACGCACTGTCTTGTGACAGCACAGGTCACAATGGAGAGGAAAAGTTTAAAGGCGGCCCATGGAGGGGTCCGACGGAGGCGGCGGTTCCCGCGGGGACTTGCGGGTGCTGGTCGTGCTCACGGGGACGTGGGGCCTGCTCGGTGCAGCTGCTTCGCCTCTGCTCTCGGAGGGCGGGTCTGTTCCAGGCTGGACCGTGCCTGCCCAAAGGCCGAGCGGTCGGTTTTCAGCCCCCTTCGCGGGGCTCCGGGGAAGAGGGGCTGCGGGGCCCGGGGAGGGGGCGCGCTGCGCGATGTGGTGAGATCAGTGCGGAGGAGCCGGGACCCTCAGCGGGGCGGAGTGGAGAGCCCCGAGGAGGAGAGCACGGGACGGGGGAGGAGAGAACCTGACCGGGAGGGACACTGACCAAGAGAGGACGGGATCTTGATCCAGACGAGAGGAAGGATTTTACCCTGATCAGGGAGGGAGGGGGCGCTAGAGAGGGAAGACCCATCCAGAGGGTAGAGTAAGTGAAGAGCTCTGAGACAGAGTGACTTGTCTTTGCTTGGATAGACGTGATGGCCACTTTTCCTGGGTGTAGTGTACCCACACTGATAGTGAACTGATGTAGGCCTGAGCCAAGGGAGGGTGGGAAAATGAAAGTTTGAGGTTTGTGAGACAGTCAAGGGCCAGCAGGGCCACTTCACCAAGTTGTGCAAGTTGTTCACTGGACTAGGGCGGCTGGCTGAGGGGTGAGGGTAAGGGTCTACGGTCTGGCCTGCACTCTGTTCACCAAGCCGTGCAGTCATTCTCGTGCTGGCCCACTTCAGCCAAGCGAAGATGCCTTCCTTTAATTCCCACAGGGCCCTGTCTGCCGGCAAACTGCGGCCAGAGGCTGTGTCTGCCCAGAGGACCCCTTTGTCTAAATCACAACATGGCGCGATGTGTGGGTTAACTCCTTGTCCCAGGGGCTGTGCTGAGGTGCCAGATAACGGACCAGAGATAAGGTGCCTCCTCTTTTCAGTTGTCTTAATAAAAGATAGCCATGGATAGCAACAGGACGTTATCATATCACAGCTCGCAAAGCTGCCATGTATTGCACATGTTCAACAACTCCATGGGGAAACTGCAGCGGCAACTGTACAATGGCGAGTATTCTGTATTCAAGGACATGCGCATGTTTGAGAGCGACTTTATCCAGGTGAATGATCCCATCCTCCCCCCCTCGTCTCCCTGATTCTTTCTTGCAATCCCCTCTTCTGTACTTCTTTTCATTCTACAAAAATTTATGGAAGACCTGTTATGTGCTGAGTGTGCAAAGATGGTTTCAGACCTCTCAACCAGGTAGAGGAAACAGACAATTGGTTTTGTTTTTCTTTTCCCACTTAGTGATTTATACACTCAATTTTATCAGGTGGCGACTCTGCCATGTTTGTTTCAGATTTAATATTTTTTTAAAGAAAAAATGTGGACATGGTTTAATCTCCCTGGATGCCCTTCCCTGATTCCATTTTCCTTTCTCTCCAGTTACCACTGTTCTGAATATGGTCATTATCATTCCCATGCAGGTTTTGTCCTTTTATATGTGTGTACTTATTAAACGTTTTATGACTCTTGGAGATACAGTGTACTCTTGTTTTGTATGTGTGGACTTTAGACATAATATTGTACTGGGTGTGCCCTTGGCAGCTTGCGTTTGCTCACTTGGTGTGTTTTGTAGAAACGTGAGGCTCGAGATACCCCTTACAGTTAAGTGGTGCTCTATACTATCCAAAGTACTTTGGTGTCTGTTTCCTGTGAGCCTCATCACAACCTAGTTATGTAGGCAAAACAAATGTCCCCATTCTACTTGGGAGCAAAGTGAGTTCCAGAAAGTGAAATGACTTTCCCAGACCAAAAAATGGCCAAGGCCCAGGCTTTCTGACTTCCAGCTCAGGGCCTTTCTACTCTACACTGCTTTCTGGATGATGGTGTGGGTCATATCATAGCAGTATGAACCAGACTTTGGGTGTGAACAACCACACACCTTTTAAGTGTGAAAGAGAAGACTAGGGGAGAGTAGACGTGAGAGTCAGCCAGGGAGCTCCATGACTTTACATCTGTCACTGATTCTCAACCTTGGCTGCTCCTTAGAAGTACCTGGGAAGTTTAGCAAACACTGATGCCTGGGACCCACCTCCCAAGATTCTAGTAGTAGACTTGGGACAGTCTCAGCAGCAAGACGTTTCAGAACTTCCAGTTTATTGTGATGTGTAGGCAGGATTGAGAATCAGTAAGCACACATAGACAAGACACAAGACATAGATTATTATTCTTGCTGAACCATTTAAGAGATAGGTGGAAGTGGCTAGTATTATGCCCCTTTACCCTTAAGTTTTTCATGTATCTTCTAAGAACTTGGACATTTATTTATGGAACCATGGCACAATTTCAGGAAATTTGATATCGATAGAATGCTATTATGCAATATGTAGCGCATGTTCAAATTTTCTCAGTTGTCCCAATAATGTTCTTAGTAGATGTTTTTCCCAATCTAGGATCATGTATTACATTTAGTTGTCACACCTCTTTACTCCTTTAGTCTGGAATGATCCCTTCATATTTGATTGTCTTTTGCATTGGCATTTTTGAGGCGAAAAAGCTGTTTTTAATAAAATGTCCATTTTGTGAAAATTTTAAAATTGTTTACCCAGCCCTGTACTGTGAGTTACTTGGGTTGTGTCCAATCTCTTGCTATCAGAAATCGTGGTAGCGAACAACTTTGTACATAATTTCTGCGTGTGTGCAGGTACATGTAGAATAAATTTTCCGAGGTGGAATTGCTGGGTCTCAGGCTAAACATGCATTTGTTATTTTGATACTGATCACAGGCACTTCTGAGCAGGGACGTGCATGATCACGGATATTTTGAGGAAGTAGACTTGGGCTCTTATGAGAGTTCAGATTGGAAAGGGAAATGCGTCAGAGCTATTGCCGTGGTACTGAGCTTGAACTGTGTGTGGGAAAACTAACATCCCTTTGAGTTTTTGCTGCATGCCAGGAACTGTGCTACACGCTTTATTTAGGAGTGAAGCAGAGGAGGACAGGTAGAAGAGAATGTAAGACAGTGCTGCTTTCCTCTTTCTTCCAACAATAGATCAGCAAAAGAGGAGAAGTGATTGATGTGCACAACAGTGTACAAATGGTGACTGTGGGTATTGCATACACAAGCCCCAACCTCACAATACCTGATGTGATGCTGCTGGCACGACCAGCAGTGAGCTGTGCAGTCAATGCCAGACATGACCGAGACACCCAGGGAAAGGCCTTCAAGTCGACAAAGAGCTTGGAGCTGACCAGGTGAGTCCAGGAGTTTTAGTCCCTCCCTGTAAGAAGTATACAGAAGGGACAAGACTGTGAAGCACATGATTAGCCATAATGTAAAACCCGGAGTGAGAGGAGCCTCTACAGCACGACCAGCAGCTGTGGCATGGATTCAGAGGAGGAAAGATCAGATACAGCCACAGGGGTTCACCAAGGCTTGGTGGAGAAAGTGGCCATTGATTATGTAATGACGGTTGTGGGAATAAGACCAGAAAGGGATTTGGAGACTATAGTGGGAAGGCCTTGCATGGCAGAGTAAGTTAGGGGTTAACACGTACTGTTTTTGGTAGGTGGTTGGGAGCCATAAAGGTGTTGAACTGAGGCATGATGAGATAAGTGATGTACTGCGAATCAGGGCTGCACCTGTCAGAGCTGAGGAGGTGACTGTGAGAGCTGAGGTCAGGAGGGCAGGATTTGGTAAATCCTTTAATAGAGGGAGTGGACTGGTTGGGCCAAGAGACTCGTGGCCTCTTCCTTCCTGTTTATCCGCACCTAATCTCCCCCTCCTTTGCTTCCTACAGGCTGATTCCTTTGAAGTTTGTAAAGTTATCCATCTACAATCAGGAGAAAAAACAGCTCCACTTGAAGCTTGCCACTGGCCGCTCTTTTTACCTACAGCTGTGCCCCTCTTCAGATGCAAAAGAAGATCTGTTTGCACACTGGGAAGACCTGATGTACCTCCTGAGACCGCCAGTGGAGGCTTATAGTGGTACCCAGGCTGAACCAGCTGGTGACATGATGGACGTACCTGTGTTGGAGGCAGAGGACAAGAAGAGCCCAGCAGTAAGCCTTTGCAGAGACTCTCGGAAATGGGGCCAGGGTGCTTTGGGAGAGAGCAGCTGAGGCTCTCCCAGGCTGCTGTCCCAGGCTTACTGGGTAAATGCATTGCATTTGGAAGAGCTCAGGCCAAATGAGGTACCAGGTGTAGACCTTGCCATATTGGAGAGGATCCAAGTGCTTCTGAATATCCAAGGTCCCTTAGATGTCAACTCCCCTAATCTCATACCCAATGTTTTAATGCCCTCAACAGCATCCTGACTGTTCAGTCTATTCTAGAACACTTGCTACTGCAACCCAGGCAGTCTGATCTGTTGTGGGACATTTTTAACTGTGAGAAAGTCTTTCCTTTATTTGAGTCATGCACTGATTTTTGTATACATCTGTGCATTGCAGCATGATTTGTGCACATGTACACAATTTGTTTGTAGGTATCAGAATGTAAAATGGTCATAGCTCTTGACCAGTAGTCTCACTTTTAGGAATCTATTTTGCAGAAATGCTAAGACAAGTGTATAAAATAAAAGTGTGAGGATGCTCACTGGTGAATTGCAGTAGTGCTCTCCCTGGCACTGGAACTGTCCAAGCAAAACTGTAGTGACCATTGTGGGATTGCTGTAGAGGGGATTCCTACATCCACTGGGAGATGACTTGATGACCTCAAAGGTTCTAATTATAAGCTCTTGGGTGGTTCAGCTTCAGGAAGACAGGTGACAGCTCTTTCTAGTTTCATTTATTTTATTCTCTACTTCCTTGTTTTTCTTCTTGGCACAGGCCATGGAGCTCCATGGAGGAGGGGGCCAAGATCAGGTCAGCATCAGGAGCCTTCCCATGGTCGCTGAGGAGTCTGGGGCCACCTCTCTTGCTTATGCTGGTGGGGAAGAAATCCAACAACGTGCTTCCCACACATACTGTATACTTAGGAACCCACTCTCTTTCCTAATTACGGCATCTACAGGGCCTGACCAAGGGGCAGCAGCAGTAACATCTAAGGACAGCATGAGTGTGGTTACAGGAGGGGAGATTACCAGCAGACCTGTTACAGAGACCACTGAAGGTCCAGGAGTGGAACCCTTTGTCTCAGCCTTGGAGAGTAAAGACAACATGAGTGAACAGGATGGAGGCCAGAGAGTCTCCCAAACCCAGGCTGAAGCCCTGAGGAAGAGAAGGAAAAAGGCGAGAACTCCCCCTAAAAGGCCTTCCCTGCCTAGTAGGACGGGAGACGATAAGTCAATCCTAGAATCCCATGGAACCACTCAGAGAGATAAAAAGGAGAAGGACCACAGCAGCCCAGGGGGCCAAGAACACGACTCCTCCCCCAGCCTCAGCTCCACCTGAAAGATGTCTAGGTGGGTGGCCAGATTTCCCTCCCTTCTTCCTTTCTATTGGATTTATTTCATTTTCAAATGCCCTGTACTCAGGTGTGTGTCATAAATTAGGATAAATGAAACACTAACCCTCTACTCAAGTAGCTTGCAGTCCAGTAGAAGGGATTACAAACTTTTCTCCTTTTCTCGTCTTTTTCACTTGCTCTGGAGAATCACAAATGCTAAATCACGGATAGCACAGGCAAACAAGCACTAGAATAAGAAAGGGGTAGTGTGAACCTGATATGGTCTGGCTGTTTCCCACTGAGCTATGAGCTCTGTGAGGATAGGGACATGCACAGAGGTGAACTCTATTGTGCAGTGAGTAGATGGCTCCTCTGGGAAGAAAACTGGAAGTCTTGTTTCTTACCTGCTCTGTGCCGCACTGTACCTGGACTGCGTGCACGTGTCTGATTCTCACAGCCAGCAATGATAAAGTTCTATTTGTCTCAGTTCTACAGATGAAAGAAGTGGAGGTTCAGAAGATGTAAGTAACTTGGATAAAGACACACACACTGATGAGTGATACAGTGAGGATTTCAACCTGTATTTTTCTAGCGACTAACCTGTGCTGTCTGCCAACACTTGGGAATTATTTCTTTTAATTGCTAATTTGAAAGGCAAAAACGAGTACACTTAAAAAAGAGACAAAAACTTACTTCAGACTTATGAAAAGTTGCAAAAAAAAAAATAGTAAATTTCCTCTATATTCCTCTCCCAGCTTCCTCTCATAATAACACCCTATATAACCATAATTCCATGATCAGAACCAGATTATTGTTAATACAATCATGTTAACTCAGCTAAACATTTGAATTTCATTAGTGTTTTGGTTCCAGGATCCCACAGTGTATTTACTGATTATTTCTTTGCAAAAACCTATTTTTCCCTAAGTATTTTCCCACTGCTTTTAGCATTCATCAGTGGATTTTGTCTGCCGCATTTATTCCTGTGGTGTTTGCCTAATGGAGATTTTATATTTCCCTGATTGCCTCTACATGTATTAATTGGAATTCTACTGTTAGGAAGAATCATCCTTTCTCCCTCGTTTATATTTTTATTCAATTATTTATTTATGACAGGGATGCTTATTCTATGGGTTATAATCCTCCACTGTTATTATTATTATTATTATTTGCTTAAATTATTCTATCTAAGACCTTTAGAAACTCTTTCAGTTTGTCTACTGTGTTCCTTCAACAAGTCCCCATCTTTTTTGGCACTTTCTGGCACTACAAGATATTCCAAAATCACATTTTTCATGTCCCAGCCCTGCAATTGACCACTTCTCCAAGGAGTCCTGGCTCTTTTTATTGGAAAATAGTGTTTATATATCAAAATCTTGACACCTTGTGATATTTGTTTTGACTAGACCTTTTCTGTTTTGTTTTTTAGGTTATCTCAAAAATTGTGGAGGAGCCGATGTAAAACTAGGTCAGGTGGGATGCCGTAATCCAGAGATTGGTTCCCTTATCGCTTCCCTTCTTCTGTAGCTCTTCCTAGTCTGGGAGGGAACACACTTTAGCCATTCATGGAGCTCGAGGATATCACCTAGAATGGTTCTCAAATGTCAAAACAGTCTAACACACCTGTTTCAAAGATGTGCAAACATAACTTTCCTGAAGTGGGTCAATTCATTCATTTCTTGAAACAATTAAATGCCTACTACATGCCTTGCCCCATGCTAACCACTGCTATATATAAAGACAAATCAGGCAGAGGGGAGAGTATATGCTCAGAGATGGGGTATAGCTTACATAGAAGCTCAAAGGCATAAAGACAGCTGGGTGTTTAGGAAACTCACAGCTCAGTGTAGTTGGAGTAGCAGGAGATGCAGTAGAAAGATGTGCTCAGGTAGGTCATGGGACAGGATCTACAGAGGTATGTGGGGCAAAGGAGTGACTTGACCACAACTGTGCTTAGAATGATCACTGCTCAGGTGAATGCAGGAAGACTGGAATCAGAGAAGCCAGTTAAATGATGGCCATGCAGGGGGAGATGATAAAAGGCCTGAACAATGGACATGTAGAGGGGTCATGGACATGGACCCCATAGAACGTGGTAAGTGATTAGGTGAGGGAGTGAGTGATGGGGAGAATATGAAATGACCACCTAGTTTCCTGCTTGATGGTCTGGGTGGATAGTAGTGCTGTTCACATAAGTGGGAAGATACAAGAAGATGAGCAAATACAGCATTAATGAACTCAGTTGGACAGATCTGACTTGATCTTTCTATTTCAAGATGTTCCAGTTTAATAGGACAACATCTGATGATTCAGTATTTTTTAAGTAGACGTTGATCTGTGCCTACTGTATGCCAGATTCTGTGCTTTGGACAGAGCAGGGTGAGGTATGCAGCCTTATAAATAAAGCCCTCTGGAAGCTCAGAGTCTCTGTAGGGAGATAAGATGTATTAAGGGTGTAAAACTACAGCATGAGACAGAATTTGGGCAATGCCTTCACAGTACCACATGCTAGAGGATAAGAGGGAACGTGTTCGAGACAGTCACTAGACAAGTTTGGCTGAAGTACAGTGTTCCCGTGAGGGAGCACAGCGTTAAAATGGGTGGGTCCAGATTGCCACAGGCCTCAAATGACATGCTTAGAAGTTTGCACTTGATTGTGGCTTTTTTTTTTAAGCCGAGGAATGATATCATTAGTAGGCTTTGGAATCAGAATCCAGGAGTGAATTAAGTGAAGGTCAAGATAAGAATCTCTTTCTCATTTTCTCTGGGGTACCTTTATTGATCATCATCCTGACTTTTCCAGGGTCTTCAGATAAGAGCCCCAGAAAAAAATTGGCTCTTTCTTCAGAGCCCTCGCTACTGCACAGACAATAGAGCAAGGTTCTGAAAGTGAAAGATCCAATGGGATAGACTCTTTACTAGGAAATCATAAAGCCCGCTGTAGATAAGGTAGAGAGTGTGGAGAGCAGCATGGAGGCATCATGCCATCAGCAGAGTGTGGTGTGGGGCTAGAGGTCACTGGTACCGTGACAACTGCAACCAAGAAGGCAGTAACCTTGAAAGCCCATCATAAGAGGCACCAGGTCATGGGGAGCAAGCTGTTTGCACATATCTTGCCTTTTACATTGAATAAGTATGACTTCCTTTTTTGCAATGAAACGCTGTTGTCTTTTTGAATTTACATGTTCCACAGCCTAGTAATGATCTTGGAAGATTCTGTGACACCAACTAAACTGAAGCCTGAGACCCCAGGCTCCTGTGTAGCACAGCCCCACCTCCCCCTTTGCTCAACAGAACAACAGGGGTGCTGCTTCTTGCTTTACCCACTGCCTGCCTCTGGTTCCCCAGACTATGACTGAAAGTCACGTTCTGTGGGCTGAGAATCATTTCTATCTCCCTCTCCCTCTTCTGTCTGAAAGTCCATGAACATAGATGTTAATTCTAGTCCATCGATTAAGAAAAAACAGGACTTGTGTCCACTCAGGATATTCAGGGGAGGAGAGGAAGAGTACAGCAGCATTTCTCTGTGATCAGAATAAAAAAGGCTATTAACTACACTTAGCAAATCCATATCTAGGTCAATACCCTGAGGAAACTCATATGTGTATTCCAGGAAACAACCATGAGAATTTTGGAGTAAAGCATAGGAAGTATCTCCAGTGTCCATCAACTGAATAATTGAAAAATAATTATGGTGTATGTATACAGTGGGACATTGTACAACATTGGCAGTTATACATATTGCTGTGGGTGAATCTCACTGCTGAATAAAAGAAGCAAGTTGAAGAAGAAGAAATTTAGTTCCATCTATAGAACAATTAGAAAATGAGATCAAACAAGACATGATTGCATATTTAATAGTTTCTCTTCAGAAAAGCTAGTATGTCTAGGGTGGAAAAGAAATATATCATCTGGAAATTATACACAAGAGATTCAACAGTGTTGAGAATTGTCCTATTTCATAAGGTGTTGAGTATACAGGTATTTAATTTAATTTTCACTTTTTTTTTTTTGAGCAAGATTGGCTCTGTGCTAACATCTGTTGCCAATCTTCCTCTTTTTCCCTTTTCTCCCCAAAGCCCCAGTACATCATTGTGTCTCATAGTTTTAGAATTGTAGCTCTTCTATATGGGACGCTGCCTCAGCATGGCTTGATGAGCGGTGAGTAGGTCTGTGCCCAGGATCCGAACCGGCGAACCCCAGGCTGCTGAAGTGGAACTTGCAAACTTCACTGATTTGCCACCAAGCTGGTCCCTAATTTTCACATTTCTGAAAGGATGGTCCCTAGGTGATGTAGTTATCGTCTTAGAAATAACCAATTTATTTTAATAACTTTATTTTTCATATATTCACAAGTTATATTTGTCAAAAATCAAAGTCCAAAGGATAATTTTTTAGTAAGTATGAAATACAGATTTGCAGTGACAAGAAATCATTATGTTAGTTTAGTTGGCAGCATTTTTTCTTTTTTATGGTATATAAAATAATGATATATCTTCCAACTGATGGCATCTTATTTCAAATGAAATACTGATTTTTTTTCTTTAAGCCATGCATATATGTTACATATACCATTTTGTGTGTATGACATATTTTATAATACTCTATTATTGGGGCCGGCCTGGTGGCGCAAGCGGTTAGGTGTGCATGCTCGCCTGCGGCGGCCCAGGGTTCGCAGGTTTGGATCCCGGGCACGCATCGACACCTGGCTCGTTAAGCCATGCTGTGGTGGCGTCCCATATAAAGTAGAGGAAGATGGCCATGGATGTTAGCTCAGGGCCAATCTTCCTCAAGAAAAAAGGGGAGGATTGACATCAGATGTTAGCTCAGGGCTAGTCCTCCTCACAGAAAAAAAAAAAAAAAAGACTCTATTGTCTGTCTTAATACCTCCATCTTGTATAGGGGACAGAAAATACACAAATAACTGTAATTTAGGACTACTCAATTGGGGAATATGAGGGATTGTAGCAGAGACTGCTAGTTGACTACCCAATGTCCATTCTTG